CAGGCTGGGGGGTCCCCCCCCAAAGCTTTCCTGGCCTGTGCCGGGTGCGCCTGAGTTCCTAAAGGTCAACTGCGCTCCTTGCGCCTCGTCTCCCAGTGGCCTTGCTACTGGGAGACGAGGCGCGAGGAGTGGTTTTGCCTCCAGAAGGGCCGAAGAGGCGCTCCTTAAAGAGCCACAGCCACCCGCGCCCCGCGTGCCGCCCACCTGCGAAAGCTTCCCCGGTCTCCTGCCAGCTTCGCCGGGTGCCCCTGAGTTCCTAAAGGCCAACTGCGTTCCTCGCGCCTCGTCTCCCAGCGGCCTTGGGGAGGGGCTGTGGCTCACTGCTAGAACATCTGATTTGCATGCAGCGAGTCCCTGCTTCAGTCCATGGTATCTCCACTTTATAAGGAAGGATCAAGTGTTAGGTGATGTGAAAGGCTTGGACTGCTGCCTGTCCAAATATTCAATACTGACATTGACGGAGTAACAGTCAGATAAGGCAACTCCGTGTGTTCATGTGGTCTTGCCTCAGTACCCACAGCTGCCATTCCCTTTGCTTTGGCTTTTAAAAAATGGCAATGTCTAGATAACGATAGTAATAAAGCCATGGCCTGGCTAGGCCTGGCTAGCTTGATCTCACCAGATCTCAGCTGCTAAGCAGAGTCATCCATGGTTAGTACTGGGATGAGAGACCACCGAGGAAGTCCAGGGTTGCTACGCAGAGGCAGGCAAGGGCAAACCACCTCTGTTCATTTCTTGCAGTGAATACCCTACAAGGTCACCGTGTTGGCTGCGACTGGAAGGGTGGGGGGAAACGATAAAACATTGTAGCGATCTGTTGTCAGAACAAAATTAAAGTTTAGAGGGAAATGGCAATGGCATGTTTATATTGGAAACAAAGTCTCATAGAGTAGAATGCTTTTTTACTTACCTCTTTAGGCTTACGTGTCCTGGATATAATGCCTTTTTACTTTCATGTTTAGGTTTACAGGTCCTGGATGACATGCTTTTTTACTTCTGTGTTTAGGCTTGCAGGCTCTGAACTTTATTAGTGCTGCATTGAGCAACACCAAATTCCTATGTATTTGCTCATGTAGGAGAACACCTTGTAACACTGAATTGTGCAGGCTTAAGAACATAAGAGATGCCAATGTTGGATCAGGCCAAAGGCCCATCCAGTCCAACACTCTGTCACACAGTGCCCAAAAATACCAAGTGCCATTAGGAGGTCCACCAGTGGGGCCAGGACACTAGAAGCCCTCCCACTGTGGGGCCAGGACACTAGAAGCCCTCCCCAAGCACCAAGAATACAGAGCATCACTTGCCCCAGACCGAGAGTTCCTATCTGTACCTTGTGGCTAATAGCCACTGATGGACCTCTGCTTCATATCTTTATCCAATTTCCTCTTGAAGCTGTCCATGTTTGTAGCTGCCACCACCTCCTGTGGCAGTTAATTCCATGTGATAATCCCTCTTTGGGTGAAGAAATACTTCCTTTTGTTCATTCTAACCTGACTGCTTAGCAATTTCATTGAGTGCCCACGAGTTCTTGCATTGTGAGAAAGGGAGAAAAGTACTTCTATCTCTACCTGCTCTACCTGCTCTATCCCATGCATGATCTTATAAACCTCGATCATGTCACCCCTCAGTCGTCATTTCTCCAAGCTAAAGAGCCACAGAACTATGAAGCACAACAATTGCTGTTAAGCACTTTTCAAATACTATACTAAGTAATCTGAGCCTGCCATCCTAAGAACACTTTTGTGAGAGTATGCTCACTGAATGAAATGGTTTTGCCTCCAGAAGGGCAGAAGAGGCTCTCCTTAAAGAGCCACGGCCACCCACACACTGCCCACGGGTTCCCCCGCGAAAGCTTCCCCGGCCTCCTGCCGGCTTCACTGGGTGCCCCTGAGTTCCTAAAGGCCAACTGCGCTCCTTGCGCCTCGTCTCCCAGCGGCTTTGTGTTCTTTCTGCAATGGATACAACAAAAGACAAGACACCAGTGCTACTTGGCCAGCAGCACTATCAATATACGTCATTTGAGACCTGTAGAGCTCAGATACAGGGTGGGCATAAAATAAGATCCAGGATCATCTATATGGGCTCTGTGGAAAATCCTGATGTGTGATACAGGATGACGTGATCAGAATCTTAGCCCTTGTGATGACTTAACACTCTCTGGGTCCAATATGAAGCTGACAACAACGTATCATTTGCTATGTGCTGTCAATTATATTATTTAACTCCAGGTGATAGAAATTTTCCCATCCGATGTGAATCTGTTCACACCCTGATCCTGTTCTCTCCAAAGGTCTGCGATGGTTTATCCAGCCGGTCCCTTATTTAGATAATACAATCACCACTAACCGAGGTACGACTAAATTTACATATGCTCTTAAATAAATTTTTCAACTTAACTTCTGCTATATAGATAGGGTTGCCAGCTCCAAATAGAGGCACTTCTAAGTGTGCTTTTATCAGTCTTCTAAACCAATCCAGGGCCATGCTGGAAGGTGGATTTATAATCACAGTTTAGCCTTCCTGCACCTAGGGTTGCCAGCCTCCAGGTGGGGCCTGGGGATCTCCCGCTTTGACAACTGCTCCCCAGCTGACAGAGATCAGCTCCCGTGGAGAAAATGGCTGCTCTGAAGGGTGGGCTCTGTGCAGAGGTCATTTCGGGGGGGGAACGCGGGGGAACACAGTTCCCCCGGGTGAGGTGCAGGGGGCGGGGCACATGACAAAGCCCCGCCCCCTGCTTCCGGACGCCCCGCTTCCGGCCCTCATTCAGCCAGGAGGAGGCAGGAGAAGAGGGAGGGTAAGTTGCTTCCTCCCTGCCTCTCCCCACCCCTGCCTTCCTGGGGCCAGGGAGGGCCTTGGCAGGGCTTCCTCGCACTCCCGCCGGCCTTGCAGGTCCACCGCCGGGCCCCTGATGTCAGGGGGTGTGGCATATGCTAATGAGTTATGCTAATGAGTTCCCCTAGCTCTTTTTCTATGAAATGACCCCTGGCTCTGTGGCATTGTACCCTGCTGAGGCCCCTCCCCTCCCCAAACCCCGCCCTCTCCCAGCTCCACCCCCAAAGTCTCCAGGTATTTTCCAACCCAGACCTGGCAATCCTACCTGCACTTTAGAGAGCACATGTGATTGGGCCTTAGTCAAAGCAGGTGACACTTTCTTAGCTGAGTACAAACTACTCACATCTTGTCGCTGACTCTCCGACATTATTCTAACATGCAGCTTTTTGTACAGTGTCTAAAAAAAGACCTGTGCACTGTCATGTGAAATAAGACTTTGTGCAGTCGGACATACATGATTTCTTACAAAGAAATAGATGAGAAATGGATAAAAAGAAATAGGAAAATACAAATAGGAAAACACAAATACCAAACTAGAATCCACTGTATAAACCCTAAAACAAGCCCAAAATGTTGGGGAAACTGGGCTAGTAGGAGCCTAGTTACATTGCTGGTGGCACTGCCCATGGATTAAAAAAATACTTGCAGGCAACAAATTCTAAAACACATTCATATCATCACGGGGTGTAACTCACCAGAACTGCCAGAGGCGGTCCTCCTATCGCACTGGCCAAATTCTGACGAAAACAAAAATAAAATAAAATTAATCTCTTATCTTTTAGCAACTGTGAGAATTCGAATTGCAAAAAACTGGAGAGAACAATCTAGCCCTACACTTCAAATGTGGCAAAACAAACTATGGGATCACTTTGCTTTAAGTAAAATTACATCTCAATCAAACATGCCTAACTTGCTCAATTATCAAAAATCTTTTCAAGCTCTTTGGTTTCCTGTAGTAGACTATTTAACAGAAAGGGATATAATCCCTAAAAATCTTTATTATCGAGACCTGCTTATTTTTTTGACTGCAGAAACGTGACTATGCTTTGTAAAAATGTATGTAAACAAACAAGGCTTGTTTAATTTTAGGAGGGATACGTGGAATTCCTATGTAGTATGTATAATGTTTAAAAAACAATAAAAGCTGTTTTTTTAAAAAGGAGATCACAACTACTGTCTCTTTTCAGTCCTCATAACCTTATATATTACAGCATTGACTACTTGATTAGCCAAGGGCATTTACTGATTCACATTCTACTTAAAACAGTGACTTGTATCCTACCGCTCTGCTCAGCAAAGCTGGAAGTCTTCCTCCAGCCCATGGAACCTTCCCCCTCCAGATGTAGCCCTTCCACCAGAGGAACAGCCACTCCCATCAGGGTAGAGTTTCCAACCACTTCTGAATCCTTTCTGACTTCCTTTCTCCATTATAACAGCAGTTGCCATGTAGAGTAGACCTCTGTTTTGTACTCTTACTACAGTTCCCAAGATTCTTGGAGCTTGGTTCCTGTTGGGCTGCCAAATCCTGGAGATTTGGGGACACATTGCTTGGTAGGGTTTGCTGGCTTCAGATGCGACGTAATCCACTTCAGGGCGCTCAGTTACCAGGCTCTCGGACGGGACTTCCTGAATTTTATTTGCGGCGCTTTTTGCAATCGGTGATCCGCAAGAGGCCGCCCTCGGGGTTGACAGGGGAGGCGGGTGCCCTCTTTCTCCAGGCGAACTGATCTCTGTTGCGCAAAGATCGCTTGTAATCCCAGGAGATCTCCAGGCACCACCTGTAGGTTGGGAACCACAGAAGGCGCCAGGAACCAGCCTGAGAAGTGGGCCGGCGCTTGGTGCAGAGGCGTCAGGGACGCGCGGGTGGGACCTCCCAACTTTTTCCTCCCCGTGGCCCGGGGTCGTTTGCCCCACTGGCGTCGCCCTTTACCAGCTCTGCTCCTCGGAGGCTGGGCTTGTTGGGGCCCTTCGGGAGACGAGCAGCTCAGCCAGTGATCTGACTGGCCAAAGCGCCTCCCAGCAGCCGCACGGGATGCCTCTGTTCTTCTTTGCGCCAGAGAAGGCACTCGGGGAGAGGTGGATGCGCGTCCGTGGAACTCACGGGGGGAGACGGCGAAGCTCATGTTGGATGAGGCGCGTTGGCAGCTGCTATTGAAGGGGGTGTGTGGTCTCCTGGTTCCTTTAAGTTTTCCGCCCCGGTTAGGCTTTAAGTGGCGATTCCTGCCTCCAGCCGGGCTCCGCCCAGCCTCGAGGGGCTTTCCTGGCCGAAGGACTGCGTCATAAGTGTAGGAAAATGGAAAGTCAAGAGTTAACTGGAACCTGATTATGGAGTGGAGGGAAATCTCCACCCCTCTGGAGCCGCTTTTACTGCTTTCAGTTTCTGTGTTTAGTTGGACCTTAGTTGCGATAAAGCAGTTGCCTGACATTGAGCAACTCTCTGCCTGCAGCGATTTAGTTCGCTGTCACCCTGAGATCAGACAAATAAGCAGTTGCGTAATTCTGGGCCGTTTGGGAGAAAGGGAGACTTCTGCATCGGGTACTGGCTCGCAATCATGGACGCGCTGGAGGCGACGTGGGGCTTGCTGCGCCTCTTGCTCGCCGTGGCCCTCCTGGCCTTTGGCCTTTATTGCTGCTACATAAAATACATCCACTTGAAGTACGATCACATCCCCGGCGCCTCGAGGGCGAGGTAAGAGGCCGGCAGGGCTGCGGAGGCCGAGACTGCGTTGCGGGAGCCGTTTCTCGGATCCCGAGTGCACCCTGGACCCTAACTTTTTAAAGAGCCCCTAATGAGAGCTGGGGGAGCCAGAATGACCTCTGGCGAGTGATCACACAGGAGAGGTGGAATTTGCCCCTATGAGTCTAAGGCCACCACCCCGGGGCTCAAGGAGCAGAGAAGGTCCCCCCCGCAGCCATTGCAGCTGCCGCCGACAGCGGTGGTGGCCATAACTTTTTAAAGAGCCCCTAGAGAGCTGGGGAAGCCAGTCTGACTTCTGGGCAATATTGCCTTTGGGCAGTCATGGATTCTCTATTGGCAATTTTGGATTCTCTATTGGCATTATGGATTCTCTATTGGCAATTATGTACTCCATTATCCCCTATGAGCAAGCGTCCTCTCCATTATTCCCTATTGGCAATTTTGGATTCTCTATTGGCAATTTTGGATTCTCTATTGGCAATTATGTACTGCACTATCCCCTCTGGGCAAGCCTACTCTATATTATTCTCTATGGGCATTCATGTATTCCCTGTGGCAATCGCTGTCCTTCGTTTTAGTACGTCCCTCCTTCTACTGTACATTTTGCAAGTCTCTCCTAGCCTGTTTGGTTAGAAGTAAACAGCTGGAGGCGTCCTTTGCTGTAGCTCAGGGACGGTACCTGTCAGATGGAAGGGCTAGTAAAAACTTCCAGGGAATGGGCCGCACGATTGTTCTGTCTCTGCCTTGGCGGTTGCAAGAATGTTGGGCGCAGAAGTTTTTGAGCGCTCGCATTGTCACAAAGAATCCTAGATGAGCCTGATCGAACCCACAGAATGTAGGGCTGAAACCATTTAACACTAATCCATTATAGCTATTTAAAGATGCTGAATATATACTCTTCCTTTGTGATTTTATTTTTTTCCTGTCTTTTGGTGACCTGGTAGGGATTTCAAGACAAGAGACGTTCAGAGGTGGTTCGCCATTGCTTCCCTCTGTGCCATCACCCCTGGACTTCCTCGGTGGCCTCCCTTCCGAAGAGTAGCCGGGGCTGAGTCTGACCCTTTTTAGTCCGAGATCTGAGGAGATCAGGCTAGCCTGGGCTGTACAGGTCAGGGTTAAAAACATCAATTTGCCAGTAGGGTAGGACTCTTGCTTGTACATACTGAAAGGTAGGCCACATAACCTTGAAGCCAACCCACTCAACAATCAATGGAATTAGGGATACCAACTCCAGCCTGGGAAATTCCTGGAGATTTGGGGGCAGTGCCTGTGTGGGAGATTTGGAGAGAGATTTCACCTAAAACCTGTGATACAGAGTCTGCCCTCTGGATGCTGCCATTTTCTCTGGGGGAACTGATCTCTGTAGGCTGAGGGTCTGCTGTGATTCTGGGAGAATTCCAAAATAACATGATTTCTGTAGTTTGAACATGGAACGTGCTGTGATTTGCTGCTTGGCACCTCCTGGGGGATGCATGCGCTTTTATTTATTTAATGTGAATGCATTTGGAACATTTCTGTGCCAGCTCTGCAGGAAACCTGCTCGAGGTGGATTACAAGTTAAACGATAAAAGAACGCCAACAAATAAAATCAGTTAAACATTAATAAATTTCTGGTCACCATAACTTAAGCAGGATATTGCAGAGCTGGGAAAAGTTAGGCTTGCCACTGCCAGCCTTCAGGTGGGGCCTGGAGAGCTCATCTCCAGACAAGAGAGATGCATTCCCCTGAAGAAAATGCCTGCTTAGGAGCAGTGTTCCCTTTAAGCTGAGTTAGTGCAATTTGGTACAGGACTGAAGAAAAGGAAATACTTCCTAATTTATTTATCGTGATGGAACTCTCTGTCTAGGTTGAATAATAGAATCACAGAGTTGGAAGGGGCCATGCAGGCCATCTAGTCCAACCCCCTGCTCAGTGCAGGATCAGCCTAGAGCATCCCTGACAAGGGTTTGTCCAGCCGCTGCTTAAAGACTGCCAGTGAGACTCGGTTCAATTTGGTTCAATTCTGCAGGGCCTGTAAGATCAAGATGTTCCACTGGACATATGATTGAGGAAAGTGAGGGCTAGAGAGATCTGCTGGCCTCCCTTTTTCCCTTCCCTCCCCCTTTCCCCTTTCCTTTCTCTGTATTGGCTGCCCTTACTTATCCACCTGTGTTGGATATTAGGGCGCCATTTGATGTAGTAAAGAAATCTTTGGTTTTACCTTATAATAACATGGATCTTAAAATTGTAATACGCTAAAGTATTGTATCTTGATTGTTGTAAGCCACCCTGACCCCTGCTTGCCAGGGAATGGAGTGGGATATAAGTCTAATAAAATAAAAAGTAAAATAAATAAGTAATTAAACTGTGGGATTCACAGCTTGTGGACATAGTGATGGCCATGATCACGGATAACTTTAAAAGGGGGGGGGTAGACAGATTCAGTAACAATACGTCCACCAGTGGCTGTTAACCATAGCGAGGTCCCGTTCACACGGAGCATTTGCCGCACTAAAGATACGGATGATAGGTGGATTTTCCGGGCGCGATCACACCGCAACATCTGGGAAGCGTAATGCACCCGTGGCCATTCTTGCCGTGGCTTCTTGCCGAAGATACAGAGTAAAAAACTAGTACATACGATGTACTAGTTTCCGGAAAACGCGGGGCAAGGGTGGGCGTCTGATTGTGTTTCCGCTGGAATCCAGCACCCGCCCATGTCCTGTCGCAAACCGGATGCTTTTTTTTTTTTAAGTCGCCACAGGATGTGCACAAACGCCCACCGGCACATGCGCACACTGGTGAGGGAAAAAAATTCCAGTTTGCCACGGCAGTGGCGCCTAGCGATTGCCAGTGTAATTGTGCCACATCGCTTCTTTGTCGCGCTGCAGGATAGCCGTGTGATTGGCACCTAACGGCATACCCATGGGACCTCCACGGGACATGTGATCGGGCTGTCGCGCATTACTTTGCTCTGGGGCAAACAGCCACGCTTCTCCCCCACATTTTCCGGCCCGTGTGACCGGGACCTGAGTAAAGGGAACCTCCATGTTCAGAGGCAGTGAGCTCCTGGAACCTAATGCAAAATGTCAATATGGGGTTGTGTGAAGCAAAGTACCCTGATTCCCCTCAAGGATTAATGTGAATATTCGCAGGCCTGCTCTGTTTTGCAGGTGTCTGTCATTCGGCCTCCAGACACTATCCTTATCTCTTTCAGGTCCAGATTCATGAAGGTGGTAGATCGCTTGTTGTGGGAACCTGCGCTCAGTTCAATGACTAGATGGGAATCATCCTATTCTAGAGGGTTCCATCAAGCAGACTCCCTGATTGGACTTGGGAGACCACCTGAGGCTGGATCGCCAAATACTATAACTAAGTCATAGGCATGAGGGAAGTCAGGCTAACTTTGTCATTTGACTGGGTTGTGGCTCTGTGTTATGCTTCATTGTGGTGGATTGCGTAAAGAACGCGTAAGCCTCTAGCTTGGACTATTATGGATGGTATCTAATACCAGGTACTGAAGTATTAGATAGAAAATTAGCCTTTGTTATTTTCTTGCTGTTAAGTTGCAGAGACTGTGTTGCCTAGTGGTATCTTTTTAAAAGTGCTTAATAAATGTTTATACATTTTACAAAGGTCTGGTTTCTTGTGTACACAGGTCTGAGCACTGCACATCTACCAAGGGTCAGTGACTCAGGGGGGACCCAACTGGGTTCTTGACAGAGGGCTTGACCTCTGAGCCACTGGGTGGAATAGGAGACCAGACTAGATGGACTACTGATCTGATCCAGCGGAGCTCTTCTTAATAACACAGCATTAACCATAATAACACAGCATTAACCAACTAGTGTTACAAAGCTTTTTCTGGTATTCTCTCCCATGCAGCTCTGTATGGATACAAATAAGCCCAGTTTTTGCTGTTGTGAGAAAGCATGTTACTGTGAAATTATTGAGTGGGATCACATAGGAATTATTCCTTTCTTTGCTCTGGCCCCCCACCTGCATGTCATTTGACTCCTACAGCACAGGTTTCCTAAAGCCCTGTTTGTTTTGATTTTTAGCTTTTTCTTTGGTCACCTGCCAAGCCTGTGGAAAAAGTTTAAACGGGAAGAAATGGTTTATGATCTCTTCATACAGTGGTAAGTGACTGAGAGCTTGAAATAGGATACAAGCAGCAATGGTGATTCATCCCAGTGGTCTGATGTAGCCAAGAATCTTTTCTTTGGTTGGATGTTTTCATAGGATTCTGATTTATTAGATTTTTTGGTTGTGCATGAGTTTAGATGTGAAATCCATTATCCCATCAGCAAACCATTATTCCTCATACTGATTGACTGCCTCCAACTTAAATGGTTAATTAGAGGAAATGGGTGAGAGAGGGTCTGGATGCCATGGAAGCTGGCTGGGTGCCTTTGGGCCAGTCATGTACTCTCAGCCTAACCTACCTCACAGGGTTGTTGTGAGGATAAAACAGAGGAGAGGAGAATGATATAAGCTGCTTTGGGTCCCCACTGGGGAGAAAGTTGGGGTATAAATGAAGTAAATAAATAATAAATAAAGCTGAAGACTAAGTTGGCAGATTTAAAAAAGGTTGGTGAGTGTGAAGATGCAAAGGGAAAGGGGAAGAGGATACTGGGGCTGCCAGAAGGAGTGAAAGAAGAAAATAACGTGGGAAAGGGGATACAGGGGGAAATGAAGTCATCCCCTTAAGTCCCTGTGGGTTCCCCACTTGTAATGATCTTTCACAGTAGTTGCTGGTTGTGAAGGATAATATTGAAAGGTTATGTTCAATGTTCCCTCTAAGCTGTGGAGTCTTGTGAGCAAAAATTCTACTTTGTGAGCTGCTGGCATTAAAGCTGTGAGCGAGCGATTTGGCTGCTGCATACATTAGTCTGCTCTGGAGCAGTCCTTCCTGAGCTAAGACAAAAGGGTGTGAGCTGGAGGCTAAAAAACTGTGAGCTAGCTCACGCCAACTCAGCTTAGAGGGAACACTGGTTATGTTGTATATGGGTGCTCAGTTGAACTTGAAATGTGCTCATACAAAGTTGATGGTGTTACTGTTATGTTTGGGAGTTATTTTATTGAACCTTTAGTGAACCTTGTTATAATGTGTATAACATTGTAAATGTTTGAATTTGATGTGGGGAAACATAATTTTTAACTTAACTGGCTCATTGGTAACTGTCACACACACAAAATATTTAAAACCTGCACTTTGAAGGAGGCATCCCTCATAGTGGTGGTAACTAAGATTTTCCTGTCAGGACAAGAATACTCTTGATGTGTTATGCTCAGAAGCAATTGCCCATTTGTTAGTGAACTCAGAAGTGACCTCAGAAATTACCTCAGAAACGTTTTTAAAAGTTCTAATACTTGCTCATTATGACTGTAGATTTTTTGTCATTGTTTCCTCTTTGTAGGGCTGAAGAACATGGACCAATCTTCCGTATTAATGCCTTTCACAAAGTCTCAGTGGCAGTATTCAGTCCTGAAGGAGTAAAGGTATTTTATGAAATATATATTTCAGCTTGGATGAGGGATGTGTGTGTGAAGATAGGTGTGATATATGTTTAGAAAGATCAGCTCACATTATAGACCTTAGTCATACCATAATACCAGCATTGCAAGTGAAACTACAAGTGTCATGTTGGCTCAGTTTACCCCCCCCCCTCAACTTGAAGCAGACTGGCAGAGCCAGTTTGGTGTAGTGGTTAAGTGTGCGGACTCTAATCTGGGAGAACCGGGTTTGATTCCCCACTCCTCCACTTGCACCTGGCTGGATGACCTTGGGCAAGCGGTAGCTCTGATAAGAGCTGTTCTTGAAAAAAGAACAGTTTCTGTCAAGAGCTCTCTCAGCCCCACCCACCTCCCAGGGTGTCTGTTGTGGGGAGGGGAAGGGAAAGGAGTTTGTAAGCCGCTCTGAGACACCTTTGGGTAGTGAAGGGCGGAGTATAAATCCAGTCTCTTCTTCCTCTTCTTCTACCTTTAGAAACAAAATCACTGCAGGATTATTGGTGCGTCAATCTATTTATTTGTCCATGAGTAGTTGTTTAAAAGGAATCAATGTTTGCAAAATGTAAAACACCTCTGGGATGGGGGAGGGACTCCTAACCTCATCCTCGGGGAGCCGGCTAGTCAGCACAAGGCCCAGCAGGTTCTGCGTTAAACTTTCGAAATAATTTATTCAGTGCTTGGACCAGGACAGGAAAATACTTGGATGCAATGAAAGGACTTCCAGACTGGCAGCATTTTTCTAAAAAATATTG